GATTAAACATTTGCTTACTTGTAACATATGATGGTTTGAATGTGGTTTCTCCCCAAAGTGCTCATGTGATGAAGCTTGGTCATCAAGGTGGTGATGTTGAGAGGTGGTGGCCCTTTAAGAGGTGGGGCTTGATACAAGGTAATTTGGTCATTGAGGGTCCTGCTCTACAAAGGATTAATGTCTTTCTTGTGAGATATGCTTAGTTCCTATGAGAGTGGGTTTTTGTAAAAGAGCAAGCCTGACTTCTGAGTTGTGCTGGCTTCCTGTCTTACCATGTTGCCTCTTCCATGCATTATCCACCACTGTGATGCTTCTTCCATGAGGCCCCCCCTTGACACCAAATAGATGGAGACACCTGATCTTGGTCTTTCAGCCTCAAAAAGTGTGAGCTAAATAAACCTCTTTTTCATTTTATGTACCTAGCCCTAGGTATTTTGCTATAACAACAGAAAACAAATCCTTACAGGGCAGAAGCCATCCAATACCATGTAAGTCAGGAAATCAACTTAGGTAGCTTGCTAATGAGCTTCTAAAGATCCAATGTGGCTTGCCCTGAGAAAGTGAATCCCCAGAAGCTGCAGATGTGAGGAGAGCTTACACAGCTCTCATTTGATCTCCCCAGAGCCTCACCAAGCATCTCCAGGAATATTCGAGTAAATCATGAGAGGCCATTGGTGCTGACTGGGGTAGGAACACAGCAAATGCTGACCAATCTTCCTCTCTCTCTTCTGAAGGGCAAAAGTCTTTATCTGTAGTGGGAACGGGCAATAAAATCTATTAACTTGGAGGTACTGTGACTGAGAAGTGAGAAAGAAAAGCTCCACTCCTGGGAAGGGCCAGGTCATCCTCAACACCAGGTTCACAGAGCTTGCTTAAGAATGACCTTAATCAGAACAGAGAACACATCCCTCCATCTCCTCCCCCTACCTCCAGGAGAAAGAGCATCTAGTAAAAATAAGAATGGAACAGAGCTGGAAAGGCAAGAAGGGAAATTATTCCTGAATAACAGGTTAAAAGGGAGAACCAAATGTACACAGACAGGGAGCAGACCCAAAACACAAGGTTTCCCTAGAGGAATTTGAAGTTCTTGATGCACCCAGGGTAACCACAGACTTTACACCCAGCCCTACACCTGAACACAAACAGCCACACTACAGGGTTAGCAGAAGGAAAGATGTGTTTATCTCCACATATAAAAACAAGTTCTGCAGTAACAACTATCCTATGATACATGTGTGGATTTCAACAAAAAATTCTGGGACATAAAAGAACAAAAACACAGCCTGAGTAGCAAAAGCAATATATATAATCATCTCATAGAGTTAGTGTTTGGTTTCCAGGTTGTAAGCACAGTCTGTTCAGGAAGGACAGAAGGCACACAAGAGGAAAATGGCAATGGCCATTGACGAATTTCTTATCATTAATTCTGAATAATTTTATTTTGTAAAATTTGCTAAAGTACATACACTGAAATTGTAACACAGAGATTATCATGGTCCCTGTGAATCAACACAAACATTTTCATTCTGTTACAATATTTATTATACTGTATATTGTCATGTATTACATGTCTACTTCTCTACTTCTCTGTAGGTTTCCAAATGGCAAAGATTCTATTTTGTAAATGTTTTTGTCTCCTGTACTTAGATCTAGTTGGCAGTCAAAAGATACTTTTCTTTATCTACAATTCAAAGTTTTTCTTTTTTTCCTTTTAAAATAAAGAAAAATTTCAAAGAACAAGAAACAATCACCTTTAATCTATAACTTTAATGTAGCTCTTTTAATTTTTGAATGTTATTCTTAGTTCTTATCTCTAAAATTCATATTTTATATGACTTGTATTTTTGGAATTTGCTTATTGATTCACTCATTCAAACATTGATGCCTATATGTCTGAGTGGGAATTAAATAGATTGGTGTGAACATTAATTTCAAGTTTCAGCTTGACTAGATTCAGTGATACCTAGATAGCTGAAAAAAACATTATTTTCAGGTGTGTGTGTGTGTGTGTGGGGGGTGGGTATGTTTCCAGATGATATTGGTGTGTGAGTTGGCCTAAGTGGGAAGATCCACTATAAATGTGGATGGGTGCCCTCCAATTGGCTAGCAGCTTGAATAGAACACACAGGCAGAAGAAAGGCAAATTTTCTCTCTCCTCCTGGAGCTGGGCTAGCTTCCTTCTCTTGCCCTTGGATGTCAGTGCTCCAGGTTCTCTGAACTTTGGACTCTGGGACTTACACCAGAAGTCTTCCAAGTTCTCAGCCTTAGGCTGTCAACTGATAATTACATCATTGGTTTCTTCAATTCTGAGTCCTCTGAGCTTGGATTACAGCATGTCAGATAGATGACCTATCTGTGACTTCTCAACCTCTATAATATCTTGAACCAATTGCCTTAAACATTCCTGACTATCCATTATCTATCATCTATCTATCAATCTATATCTATCTGTCTATCTATCTATCTATCTATCTATCATCTATTTATCCATCTTTCTATTTATCTTTAAATCTTACTGGTTCTGGCTCTCTAGAGAACCATGATTAATACATAAGGTAAAGATGAACTCAATTCCAACTTTCTTGGAGATAATGAGCAATGGGAGAGATTAATAGCTATCAAATATTTATAAATAAATGTAAAATTACAATTTCAACAAATTGCCATTTGATAAAAGCTATGTTTTTATGGATATAATCAGAAATATTTATCAAGTGAAGAAATTAGAAATGTTGAAGGAAAGGTGATCTGAAAACTGAGCAAGAATGAAGTGGAAATGAGCATTTCAGGAGAAAGAACCATCATGGCCAAACATCCACTTCAGTAAAATGGGTGAAAGTATGAAAACATGAGGCAGGAAGATATTCTTCTTAGCAGAAATGTATTCTTTCATTATGTCTTTGATTCATGCTTCTTTTCCAATTCTGACTTCTTTCTCACGCATTTGAGATTTCTTAGTTTGGTGCTTTAGTTTCTCCTTTAAATCTCCTATCACAATTGGCCACTGTGTTCTATGTTCATATTTTCAGAGAATTTCAAATGCAACCTAATCATCAATTATTTGGGGTCATTTTCTTCATTAACCTTATTCAATGTGCATTTAATTATACTCTTACCTTATTTTATTTCCTTAAAACTGTCCTTATCTTATTTATCTCTCTACTGAGTTTATGGTATTTTTTACCTAGGGTTTTTATTTCTATGTAATAAATGTCATTAGATTAAGGATTAGCATGTATTCTGGATTCTTGGATTCTGCAGTAGACCAAATAAAATGAATTATTTTTCATGTTGCTCTTTCCTTCACTGTCTGTATCACATTTAGGAATGCAATTTTTTCTTACAATGCATACAATTTTGTAATTTAATTTTTAATGTTCATCTCCCCTTTAAAGTATAAGCTAATAAGGAGTGTCCCTTTTGTTTTCACTTATCCTCATATTCCATTTTACCTGGCAAATACCTGATATCAGTTATTATTAAATAAACAAATATTCAAAATGTTGTCTTTATTTTTGCAGTATTTTAAAAATAGCTCAGAATTTATCATCTTCTTAATGAGACTTACTATAGCACAACCATCAATCTGGTATAAGATTTATTATATGGCACCCACTAATCTAGTGTATGGAGTTATTTTCCTGCATTTCTGCTTTTGTGATTAATCTATTATCAGGCCTGTAGCCTGAAGACATGTTAATATGTGTAACCTCCAGGCCAATTTCTAACTTCTACAAGCATTCATGTTGTATGACTTGGCTATGGTCAGATATATTTTCTCCTGACCTGTTCTTTGCCTTCTGTCTATCACATGTGGAATTTTTTTAACTTGCAAAGTACTGGGGATTGAAATCAAGGTCTTGTGCCACCTGCGTCATGCTCTCAGTCCTTTTGTTTTTTGTTTGTTTGCTTGTTTTACAGATATGGTCTTGTGTATTTGCCTGGGGCTATTGTAGGACAGCAACCCTCCTACCTCTTTTTCCTGCATAGCTGGGATTACAGGTGTAAACCACCTGTCCCTTGCTTGTTTGTTTGTTTTTGTTTTTTGAGATAGAGTCTTACTATGTAACCGAGACTGGTCTGAAACTGGTTTGAGCTGGGCTCAAACTCATGATCCTCCAGCCTCTGAATGCCACCATTCCCTGCTGAAATATATTTTTAAAGGAGATATTCAGGATGCATCAGAGATGTTTTGAATCAGATCTCTGCAGTTGGTCTCATTCATTCTACTTCTTGTCTAGCTTGCAGAGATATGAGAGATATCTTCTGTATGCCAAAAAACAAATAAACACACACAAAAAGACGTAGAATGGTGATTGTTGATATATTGTTTGGCACACACTTCATTTCTCTTAGCAAACTGACAGGTGGAAGGAAGGAATATTTACTAAGTGGTCTTTGTTTTCACAAGTCTAAGTCAGCTTTTCTTAATTTCCATGGGTCTGATAGAAACATACATTCTGCGGTATGTTTTCTGACAATCAGCTTGCAAAAATTTTTAATATCTAATTCTTTAGCAGTATTTTAATGGGACATAGGAGGAAGATGCATGTGTTGTTAGACACAATTTCAATTTTTAAATTAATAAAGTCTTGAAATATATGACTGCATCAATAACAGATGTCATGAATAAGTCCTTTATCAGATTAGATGTTAGGCTTGAGTTACAAGGTCCCAACTGATTTTTATTTAAGAGACAAGTCTTTTCTTCTTATTTCAGCTATTAATTTCTCTCCTCCTTTTCCCCCTTTACCCATTTTCTATTCATAAGAGTTGCAATTACTATTTCTTTTATTATATACTACTATTTGTATGGTTCTATAATGAGTGTTAGCCTTTGTATTTATAGTTTGTTTTATTATAAACTCATGAGATCATTCATTTTTCATCACACGTAGTATGGGAATCTTAGTAAAAGGATCAGTAACCCAAAAATATTTTACTATATTAACATAATGGTGTTTGGAAATATAGTGGCAGCAGTATCTTTTTTTCTTCCCTTAAATACGTGTTTCATTGACTAAATGCCCATTGTTACTTAAGGATTCTAACTTGGCTTCATCTGTGACTTTTCCTCCATTTTCCATTGCTTTGGTATCTTTTCCTTCATATTTTTTCTTCATGGCATAAATTAAGATAACATAAAAAATAAGTGCTAAAAATCTTAAGGATGAGGATAAGCCCAAGTAGATATTTCTGTAGAAAGAGAAAAAAGAGAGTAGTTTATTATTTTAGATTGTGTGGAATAACGTTTGATATCTTTCTCTAGTGTTCAGACTGAGGAGAAATACTGAAATCACAGAAGCACAAAGGAAACAATTTTACTGCTTCCTTTCACTGTGGCAAAAGGAATTTGGGGTTATTTTAATAGGATTGTGAAGGCACAGAAAACCAAATCCAGCTGGCTCTATCCTTCCTCATGGAAGAAGTAAAATATCCAAATCCATCGTCAAACCATTCAGTATCACATAAGGAAGGAGGGGTACTGCTATGGGTATTTGAAGTTCACAGCTCAGAAATACAGGTCACTAAGGGACAGACTTAATCATAGGATTAAGAAAGAATGACATTCCTGAGGGATTACCTATATCAGTCATTTTACACCAATACATAATATTTTTCAAGAAAAAAATTAGATGTCACACTAAAAGCCAAAAAAAGTGGTTTGCAGAGAATGAGAGAACCTTAAAGCCAGACTCACATATGTCAGGGATATTGGAATTATGAGAATGGGGATTTGAAACAACTGTAACTAACCTGCTGTGGGAGTCAGTGGATAAAGTGGACAGCATGCAAGAACAGGTGGGCAGAGCAAGTAGAGTGATGCAAAGTCTAAGAACCAAAGAGCAGTGCTAGGAATAGACAGCTGTTACAGAAATGAAGAAGAGCTTCGGCAGGCTTAGTGGACAGGACACAGCTGAAGAGAGAATCTCCGAGTGGGAAGATACCTTAATAGAAGCATCCAGAACTGAAAAGCAAGAGAAAGTCATCCAACAACCAAAATTCTGTACTCTGTGAAATTATCCTTTAATATGAAGTAGAAAAGCCAGGTGTGATAGCAGACACCTGTAATTCCAGCTGCGTGGGTAATCTGAGGAGAAACGATCACTTGAGTTCAGGAGTTTGTGTCCCACCTGTGCAATATAGTGAGACCCAGCCTCAAAAAAATTGGGAGGTTGAATCAGGAGGACTGTGAGTTCAAGGCCAGTCCTGATTACATAGTGAAACCCTGTCTCAAAAGACCAGAAAAAAGTGAAGTAGAAAAAAAATTAATAAAATTTATAAGCTTCTGGTATGGCTATTTAAATAAGACAAAATGAAAGGACACAAATTACTAATATTAGAAGTGAAAGAGGGAGCATCACTAGAGAGTCTATGGACATTAGAAAGATGATACAGAAACAATATGAACAACACTAGACTTACAATTTTAACAACCACAAATTTAATAACCTCAAAGAAATGGACCAATTCCTTAAAAGAACATACTCTCAAACCCACACAAGGAGAAATAGACAATCTGAGCAGACATATATATATTAACAAATTTCAGTCAACAATAATAAATAACTTTCTAAAACAGAGTGACAGGCTCAAATGAGTTTGCTACTGAATTCTATCACTGATGTAAAGAAGAGATTATACCAAAAAGCTACAATTTCTTTCAGAATATAGAAGCAGTGGGAATATTTCCTAACTCATTCTGTTAGGAACTCAAACAGACAAATACATTACAAGAAATAAAAGCAGAGACCAATATTTCTCATGAATATAGCTGTAAGACTTTCAAAAATAGCAAATTAAATCCAATAATTTACAAGTTAAGTATATACCATGACAAAATGGGGTGTATTCCAGGTATGCAAAGCTTTAGAACTTTCAAAAATCAGTTACTATAATCCATTACAACAACAGGATAAATAAGCCAAAAATCACATAATAACTTTGACAGATGCAAAAAATGCATTTGACAAAACCTAACACCGATTATAATAAATGCTCTCAGTAAAGTAGAAATAAAAGAGAATTTACTTGGTTTGATCAAATGAAGCAGTTCTAAAAACATGTCAAACTTGATGAGGAGCTCAAACTTTCCATTAAGGCAAAGAACAAAGCAAAGAAATCCCCAGTCACTAACACTTTTCAACATCGTACTGGGAGTCCTAGCTAACATGATTTTTAAAAGCAAATAAAGTTTGCATAGATTGAGAAAAAAAGGAAAAAAACCTTTCTTTGTTTGCAGACTACATGATTACCTATGTAGAAAGTCTCAAAGACTAGACAATACCCTTCCTGAGCTAATAAATGATTATAACGAGGTTGTAGGATACAAGGTTAATACACAAAGTGTTTTCCTACATATCAGCAATGAACAAATGGAATTTAATAATTAAAACATATTGTCATTTACTTTAGCAGCTCTAAAATGAAATACTCGCTGTAAATCTAAAAAAATTATACAAGATATGAAGAAAACTATAATATTCTGATGAAAGAAATGAAACAACCAAATAGAGTCTATGTTCGTCTAGAAGAAGACTCAGTATTATGAAAATACCCATTCTTCCCACTTGATCTGTGAATTCAAGGCAATCCCAATGAAAATGCCAGTATGCTATTTTGCAGATATCAATGAATTAATTCTAAAGTTTGTATGCAGTGGAAAAAAAACCCAGAAGAGCCAAAGCAAAGTTTGATGTCAGTTGACCTGAAGACTTACTATAAAGATATGGGAACCAAGACAGTGAGGTATTGGTAAAAGAACAAATAGGTCAAAGGAAGAGAAGAAAGGGTTATATACACTTATATATTGAATATATATTAATATTTGAAGAGATATTTTGGCATGGAAACAAAAAGTATTTGATCAAAAATCCTAGCTCTTTTTCTTGTAGTTGTGTGGTTTTAGCTACATTATTTATCGTATCCTTGAATCTTAGTTTCTTTATATTTAAAGTAGCAAGGTACAACATTCCTTTCCTACAGTTTCTATGAGTATTGAAATGTTATGCCAGATTACTTGTTACAATACTGAACACAAAGTAAGTTTTCATTTAATAGTAGCTTTCATTAAGTATTATACTGAAAATGATATCCTTTAGAGGTTAATGCGGTCATTAACATCCTCATTAATTAGATATACTTATAACAACTTACCCAAATAACGTGGAATTATACGTTCTACATGTCCCTCGTGCACCACAGTTGGTGACAGACCACTTTATGCATGTTTTATCAATCAGGGCCCCAAAATATATTGGTGCTAGAATTCCTCCTGCAACAAGAGATGAAAAGTTACCAATCTAGGGAACATGTTTCAAGTATAACTGGGTAGTATTTTACATTGGTCCATTTTGGCATAAGTAAAAGTTGAAATATTTGGAGGACTTGTTCATCATTTTGACCTAAATACGTGCAAGAGTCATGCCTATGAGGATGCTTGAAAGGTCACTTTATATTACAATGTCACAGACATCTTTCATCTACTTTCACCCTTCCAGTGACACACAGGAAGGAACACTGTATGTCTGTAAACTCTTCTCACAATACAGTCGACTGAACCTTGATTGATAAAAAAGGAGGCAGTTGCTAGTAAAACATGGAAGTTATGTGGGTTCCTATGTAATTTTTTTCAGGCAAAAAGCTGAAGTAGTGGGAGTAGAATTATAACTTTATGGGCATGGACAGCATATTCATCTTAACTGCTACAAAAGCAGTGGTACTTCCAACTCTAGTTGGAAAAAGAAGGGAGTGTTTACATCAGGAGTCTCTCCCCAGAGAGGCGGAGGCCAAGCTTTCCATGTGACACTTGTTTCTGGGCTTAGAGCGCCACTTCCTCTCTTTTGGCACCATTAGAGCCTGATCCAGCATTTTCTGTCCACTGATTTTAGTCTAGGCTGTTCAAACTAGGGCCTATGTAGCTAAATTTTGTTTCTGTTCTTGTCTGATGACAATAATGCATAAGGCGTCAGTGAGCCATCTCTAATCCAGTTTCTACATGTGGTACATGATTTTCCAAATATGAGGCTTTTGGAGAACATTTACCTTGTTTTAGAAGTGTCTATCTGTTCTCACTGTTGTTCTAATAACTTCTGAGATTGACTTAGTTCTAAGCATCAGAAATATGACTAAAATTGTGTGGTACATCTTCAGAGGGTAGAAGTGATGTGGTCACAACTTTACTTCATTCTTTTTTGTACTTAGGTGAAAGATTTTTCAGAGTTTACTTAGTCATGTAAGAAATGATAGTGATTCATATATCACACTTTTACTAATTGCATTTACTTTAAATCACTTTCATTTTTATGAGAGGGAGAAATTTTAGAATGACAAGGTAGCTAAGGCCAATGTACCCAAGGAAAAGTGATACTGAGAAAATAGGCGAGAAATTTGCAGGTTTCAAAACCATTGCAGCCACCCTTTAAAAGGTGAGAATGCATGCCTGTAACTAATTTTTCCCGCATGATGTCATTGGTGTGAACAAGCTTAATGAATTAAATGTTTTATGTAACAAACTTGGTCTTAATCATTATTGGAATTTTAAATCTTCTAAAAACTTATTCTCTAAATAACTTTTTCAATTTAACACTACAAAGACCTTTCAAAATTTGTACATATATTGTAGTCAAGACAATTGTGAAGTACTTAAGTGTTTTTCCCATGGAAAATTTAGGTTCCGCTGTGTCATATTGTTGAACACATCAGCCTAGGGAGTTTACGATGAAGATGGAAGCATTCTTTTGTCTATATTTTATGCTGCTAGGAGAATTTCTTCCATTCTCACAGTCTCATTTCAGCACATAAAAGCAGTGCTCACTGCCTAGATGTTATGTCCAGCTTCTGTGATCCAGTCTTTGGAGTGAGCCACCTCCATTGGATCTGGTGGTAGGGGCTGTCAGCCTAAACAGAGGCTTCAGAATGCATAGAAGATAATGCTGGGAAGAGAACTGGATGGAATGCCACTGAGCCACCATCTTTCTTTCTCTCATTCCCTTTATCATTCTTTTTCCCTTTGAGGATCTGTGACATTCTCCTTAAATCCACTTCCTGAACACCACCACTGTATTTTGACCATAGAGTTAAGCTTCTTCCCTTTGCTTACAAAGGTCACAGGGATCAACCCTTTCACTTTCTTTTCTCATTTGCATCAGTATCTGTCCATGATTAGTCCTCTGCCCCAGTCCCCAGGTAAATGAGTTCCCTTTCCCAGGTTTAAGCATATAATGGTTACAAGTCTTACAAAAGGGCAGCTGCAGGAGTTAGTGTAGAAATTGTTCAGATAACAACAGGCATAATGGGGCTTAAAAAAAAAAAAGACAATGAGGGAAAGAAGCGAATTTCCTAAGTCTCTTATGAAGGATCTCATTTTAACATTTAGAAGTGGGCCTTGAACTATTTGCCAATAAGTAGCTTTCTTTCATTTACAATGCTCTCTTATCCAAGATGCTAAATTCTAGAGTATTTCTTTTGCATTTTTAACTTTTGGTAAAATTTGGCTGCCCACTCTTACAGAATGAGTCAGGAGGAAGGTGTGCAGGTAATGTCAGGTCTGTTGTTTAGCATAGCCTCAACTTAACCAAATTCCCAGAACTCCCAAGTTGCTTTAAGGCATTACCTAAATAATCCCTCAATTTAGAAGCAAGGCCTTCCAATCAACCTACCTGAAAGAGCTAGTCCTGGATAAAGTAGGAAACCTTTGGGAATTGCCTTGTCTTTGAGTTGTAACACGTAACACAAAGATGATGATTTCTTGGTCATAATCTTGACTTTAATTAGAATTAACAATCAACTTCTCTTTTCACTCACTCAGTTTTCCTGTTTCTCATTATTTTCATTTATGACAAGATAGAAATGATTCTTACTTATAGCTTTTTGTAACTTTTTATAATTGGAAATTAATTACATCCAGTTTTTAAATTTTGACATGAATATTTATATTGTGAATTTAATATATTTGACATACCTAGTGCTCGTATAATCAGTGCATGGAAACCCATTGCAAGTGATTTCAATTCAGGTTGGACATTTCTGAAATAAGATAAAGACAAGGAAACATTAGGCATCTTTGAAATACCAAATTGAGTTCAATATTAAAACGTTTCTCAGTGACATTTTTCTTTGTGGTTGAATGTAAACCCTCAAGAGAATGACTCACATTATATAAAGTTCTTATTTTTAAAAAGGTATCTGAGTGTTAGTAAAATTATTGTTCCCTTGTTTATACAATGTGTTATGATTTCAAGAGTTCAGCAAACATTTTTGCTTTTGTTTTTTTTTTTTTTTTTTTTCATTTTTCTTTTATTATTCATATGTGCATACAAGGCTTGGTTTATTTCTCCCCCTGCCCCACCCCCTCCCTTACCACCCACCCCCTCCCGCTCCCCCCCTCAATACCCAGCAGAAACTATTTGCCCTTATCTCTAATTTTGTTGTAGAGAGAGTATAAGCAATAATAGGAAGGAACAAGGGTTTTGCTGGTTGAGATAAGGATAGCTATACAGGGCATTGACTCACATTGATTTCCTGTGCGTGGTGTTACCTTCTAGGTTAATTCTTTTTAATCTAACCTTTTCTCTAGTTCCTGGTCCCTTTTCCTATTGGCCTCAGTTGCTTTAAGGTATCTGCTTTAGTTTCTCTGCATTAAGGGCAACAAATGCTAGCTAGTTTTTAGGTGTCTTACCTATCCTCACCCCTCCCTTGTGTGCTCTCGCTTTTATCATGTGCTCATAGTCCAATCCCCTTGTTGTGTTTGCCCTTGATCTAATGACCACATATGAGGGAGAACATACGATTTTTGTCTTTTGAGCCAGGCTAACCTCACTCAGAATGATGTTCTCCAATTCCATCCATTTACCAGCGAATGATAACATTTCGTTCTTCTTCATGGCTGCATAAAATTCCATTGTGTATAGATACCACATTTCTTAATCCATTCGTCAGTGCTGGGGCATCTTGCTGTTTCCATAACTTGGCTATTGTGAATAGTGCCGCAATAAACATGGGTGTGCAGGTGCCTCTGGAGTAACAGTCTTTTGGGTATATCCCCAAGAGTGGTATTGCTGGATCAAATGGTAGATCGATGTCCAGCTTTTTAAGTAGCCTCCAAATTTTTTTCCAGAGTGGTTGTACTAGTCTACATTCCCACCAACAGTGTAAGAGGGTTCCTTTTTCCCCATCCTCGCCAACACCTGTTGTTGGTGTGTTGCTGATGATGGCTATTCTAACAGGGGTGAGGTGGAATCTTAGTGTGGTTTTAATTTGCATTTCCTTTATTGCTAGAGATGGTGAGCATTTTTTCATGTGTTTTCTGGCCATTTGAATTTCTTCTTTTGAGAAAGTTCTGTTTATTCTCTTCAGATCGTATAAATCTTTCGCCTTTTACATTTTTGCTTTTGATTCTTATGAAAATTGTGTGAGACAGTGGCTGTAACAGGCTTTATGATACCTGTGAAGACATTGCTTGCTCATGGTCTATATGGTTGACACGACCCATAGGAAAGAGTAGATCCTTTCATGTAAGTGTGGGTCTCAGGATATCTCTTTCTCCCATCTTATTTCTTTCATTGATGCTACCAAAACATTTTACTAATATATTTCATGGAAGAGTCAAAAAAGTTATGTATTCTAGTGTTTAGTGTATTTAACAGTCATCTTGAAAGTAGAGAGCATGTTGGTATCCTCACTTAGGAATCTACTCTTACATTTGCATTCATGTCTACAATTCCATTTTTCTCTGTTAAATAAGATGACACTACCATTCCTGTGATAATCCAATACATCTCAAAAGAAATGAAATTATCTGCTAACAGAAAATGTGGGGTGGGTGGGAGAAGTGACTAACTCAAAAAAAGTTTAACTATTGAATGATATGGAAAACAATTTCTTTGCCTTGAACTTTTTGATGATTTTTTTTTTGGAAAGCTAAGTAGATAAGATCACTCAATAAGCATTTAATAGGCACATCATGGAGAGATCATGATGTTTTATATCAACCAAGTGACTTGGAGGAATCAGTTAAAGTCTCTTAGCCTCAGTTTCCATATTTGCTAAATGGGGACAATAATGCTTAACCTTATACTTTCTGAGAATCCAGTACCATGACTTGGCACTTTGAACCTCAAGTTTCTTTACATGTAATTGCCTTCAGTCCTCATAGGGCAGCTTCCATTTATTAAAGTTCTCAAAGGTACTCCAAAAATCTGGGAGCATACTCATAATCCCAGTTATGAGAGAGACTGAGACAGGAGGATGGTTTGAGCCCTAAACCCCTGAATTCAAGACCAGACTGGGCAACTTAGTGAGACCCGGTCTCGAAAAAAAAAAATTCAAGAGACTTTATAAAATTAAACAAATCAAAAGTTAAATTAAATATAGCACAATAAAATTTAAGATAGTATAATCATATATTAGGAGAGAAATAAATGGAAAGTGTTTTGGGCTCTGTTTTGCAAAGGATAGTGACACTTTGCTAGCTCAGCAACTGGCACATGACACAAGGGTAAGGAAGCCATGCTTGTTATTCAAGAAAGTGGTTTTTTTTTTTTTTAATTCTCTCAGTCTTCAAGATTATTAGTTCACATTTCCTGACCTTATCTTGAGCTTTTTTTTCTTCCTCCTCACACTCAATGGATTATGTTTTGTTTTTGTTTAACAAAGTAGAAACAATCCAAAACAGAATTTCATTATTCTTCACCACTAAAACTGTAATTTGCTTCCTTAATAGCAGCATGGATATTCCTTTTATTACAGAGTAAAATTGTTCACATATCTTTCCACTTTCTTCAGGGATTTTTTCCCTTTTTCTAACATTGTCAACTTCCTTCACCTTTATTTGAAAAATGTCATTCACTTGCAGTCATACTATACCTGTCATTGAACATACACAGAAATCTTGATGTCACGGCCTTGTTACGGCCATACCTTTTTTCTGCTTTTTAGAACACCACTAAGAGACTTTTCCCTACTGACTAACTATACTTCTCTGTCCTATATTTTCTCCTGACACTTTTCAAGACATCTTCATGAACTATTTTTTGCTAAGGCTAACAGTGACCAGAATATCATGAAATCCGTTGTTCACTTTCTAGTGCCTTAACTCCCATGATCTCTCAGTAGCCCTACTTACATCCCCCTGCTTGTCACATGCTTCATCTGACTTCTGGGACAGGGCCTTCTCATGTAATGTGGAACCTAGTTCCTCCTCCTGTCCTTGGTGGCTTGACCTGCCTGAGTCATGGTCCTAGGATCTTCTTTCTATCTGATCTCAGTCCTTATTAGATCTCAATAGTAGCATAGTTTTAAATATCAGCTGTAGGTTGCTGATTCTAAAATGGTGTGTTTTTCCTGAATGTCAGAATCTCTGTTACATTGTCACTAGATATCTAAGGCCTCTCAGAATTCTAGAGATAGAGCAGGTCCTTGCTTTCCTACTTTTTCAGCCTCTTCTTCCCTAAGGCTTTTCCATTTTGCTCAGATACACTACTTGTTTCCCAGAGCTCAGACCAGAACCTTAGAATCATCCTTAAATTCTGTCTTCTGTGCCATATCAAATCCACCAGCAAATCCTATTGGCTCTGCCTTAAAACAAACAAACAAACAGAAAGACTGAAACCCAAATCACTTTCCACTTTCTTTTCACCATCATCAGTCAAACCCATCTTGTGGACAACTAGCATAGTCAGTCTTCTGTTTCCTTTGATTCCATTCCTGCCTCCCCTAAAATTATTCTTCACAGAGCAGCCAGAATGATTTCTGGTTAAGTAAGCCAGTGATGTAATCTCAAGGCTCAAACCTTCTGCTGGCCTCTCAATACACTTAGAATAAGTGCCAGTGTCTGTAGTGTGACCCTTATAGTCTGGACTATGCTAGGTCTCTCACTGTACAGCTTATTTCTTTTTATCACATGCTTTTCTTGATCGCATACATGTTGAAAATGCACCGCCCCAGGGTCTTTACCTTGCAGCTTCTTTGCCTTGATTGCTCTTGTCTTGTCCTCACGTTAGCAGGGCCTGTATGCTCACACTCTCACACTTCCTCTCTTCATTCAGGTTTTTTATCAAAGGAATTGCAGTGCACAATATCTAAACTTGTATCTTACCTGCCCCTTCTCATTTTCTATTTTCTTACTGTGATTCATTTTTCCTTCCAGTGTGCCACATTTACCTTATTTAATTTGATTTATATATTTAATTACTTATGTATTGTTTCATCTCCTTTACCCATACACCCCAACCCCCTCTGAAAGCTAAATGAAGCTCTGTTCACAGTCGCTTCTTCAGCATGTAGAGCTGTGCCTGACACACACAAGGATACACACTGAGGGAGAACAGCATTAGCCTTATGATATTAGCATTGGAAAGTCATTAATAGACTGAAGTTTATATTTTATTCTGTAGTCAGTTTCACAAAAGTTTTCTTCCAGTAAAATCAAATGTCGTTGAGAACTTATTAAGTGTGGATTTTGACAAGTGGCAATTTTTATTTGATCACTTTTTTTTGATAAAACATACAATGACTATCATCAATGTTGGAACGATATCTTTTAAAACTCTGTCTCATGAAAGACTTTAAATTAAAAGTTAAAACCTGCTGAAATGCCAAGTAATATGGAGATTTGAAACGATTTTTTGAAACTTAAGGAATCTAATTTGGTAACTAAGGAAGCATCTCCTTTCAAGTAAATAGCATTTCATATTAAGATGGTGATATGTCCGTGGACCTCTGTCCAATGGATACAATGTGGCTAGAGTTGAGGTTATAGAAGAATTTAGACAACTGTGCTACGTTTACAGATCTGTACTCATTTTAAGAAGAAAACTTCTTTCCTCCTTGCTGTTACCCTATAGAGAACTGGTAATCAGCTATGTGGGTTTTAAAAGTGTACTTATATGTTAACCTAGGTCGTCATCCTTAGATATGGGTCTTCTTAAAGATCTACATGTGTTCAGTTGTAGGTGACTGAGTGGTGAATGTGGCCAAGGGAGCTTGTATGACCTGCCCCTGCCCTAGCTCTCTCCCTAGTCTTATTTGCTGCACACCTAACCAAGCTGCTTCTTTTCATTCCTCAAACTTTTTTCCACTAGTGTTTCCTGGCTCAAGGTATGGTCATCTGGACACTCTACATGAAAAGCTTTTCATTTGGAGTCTTTATTTTTAGGCCTCTGTATTAAATGTCACTTCTTTTGAGAAATGTTCTCTTAGTCCTCTTCATTCCAGGCCCTCACTTCAATCCTAAATTACATTTCCCTTTTTGTTCTTTTTAATAACAGTCCTTTTCCTTATATTACTAAGAATACTTACATTTATGTGTATGGCAATAGGTGCCTTATCATTTTTATTTACTATGCAATATTCTTTATGGTGTCTTGCCTGTTTTTCTAACATGTGAAGGAATTAATATTTTTTATGTGTTTTTCTTTTGTCTACAAGGGTATTATGGGTGACTAGGTTAAAAGTCATTTTGTGGGTAGATTAAAAGCTTTGGAATGTTATTATTGACTTAGTCTTAAATGTGTATCTGGTATGCAAATGTTTTCTTTCAATGAAATCAATAAATGATTGCTCCTGCCTATCAGGATGCAAGGCAACTCAAAATAGAAAGTTCTTTCAGAAATATAGAGAGATTCTTTCACAATTGAGGCAAGTGTTAATCAGTCTGTGTCTTAAGATTTGCAGCAAGAAAAGAAAGTATGCAATCTAGATTTTGCAATAGAAGAATCAGAGGCAAAATTATTATTAATGATGACATTGAACTATCATAATAATCTTAAGAAGATGCACTCTTAGATAATTAAAATGTGACAAAGAATGAGCTTCAATCCTACACGTATTATGAAAAATAGTCTCATTATAGTCTATTGTAGTTTGATATACATGAAATAATTTAAAAAGTCATACTCACTTCATAAGCAGCATGATAAATGAGGAACTTCCTATTGAAGTGCAAAAGGACTGTAAGACTTGAACAGCTATGTAAATGTAGTATTTTCTTTTACAATCATCATCTCTTGGGCATTCACCCAAATGGACTGAGTAGTTTCTGCTCTGGAAACCAGATGCTTCAACACAACTACAGTTATAAAACACCTACAAGACAGTTTTTGAGATATTATAGAATACATTTATGAAATGAGAATGTGATAAAGATGTTCCATTATATTTAAAGAAGTTTCATCCATTCAAATGAAGATATTTCCAATTTTTGAAAATTCTAAAAATAAAGCTGCTTAAGAGGTAAAAGGCAAAATATTTTCCCAGATTCCTTTCTAGACAAGAAGATGTAATTCACTCTTAACATTTAATTCATTTCTAATTTTAAAGTTAGGAAAGAGCTGAAGAAATTAGTGTTTGAAGCCTGTATGTAACTTTCTCATTCATAAAAAATACTTTAAAATATTTCTTTTCAGCCCACTTTTACTTTCTATCATACACCTTTAATAAAATACTTTATAGTACAATACTTTATTATAATAATCTCTACGTAGTATCAGGGACATGCTCCAGGAGGGACTGTCCAGAGAATGCAGAAATACAGCAGCTTAGCGGGGATCAAAATCTGGAAACAGAGCTACTTATAAGAATGGGACAGAGCAGCCAGGGGTGCTGTAATTCTATGACATGCAAGAGCATAATAGCAGTTAATCAAACAGACAATGCTATTGCCAGAGATACTCAACACAGTAGACTGTGCAGACCAATAGTTCAAACCTAGAAAAAGAAAATTTGGGAACACATGATTTTTAGAGATAATTAATCAGGAAGGTAATTCATGTACATTGGTGGTTTTCATAAAGTTTTCTTCTGGTTCTAGGCTAAAGCTTAAGGAAAGTTTACCTTGAATCTATTAATGCTTAAGTCCCATTACTGAAGGAGGAATTCAGGAAAAATTTGAATCTATACTGGCATGACTCTACAAGGCTTTACTTTCTTACTTTTATCTTTCAGCTAGGAATAATATGGAATCATCCTACACTGAGCAAGCATATCGACCAATAAAACCACCAATGTACAATATAAAGACTCTTAATTCAAAAGAGAAAGTTTATTATTAAGAATTTAATAGAACTTTGCAGTGGCCCCAAATAGTGTAGTAATTATGAGGATTTAGAAGATGATGTATACAGGGTTGACAGAAACTCTTTTAAAGATCCTTTCAGGACTATTAAAAATAAAAAAGGTAGACAACAAGAGGGGAAGAAAGGAAAACAGGAGCTACAAAACAACCAGAAAACAAATAACAGAATTACAGAAGCAAGTCCTTGCCTGCCAATAATAACCTTGAATGTAAATGAATTACATTCTCTAATTAAAAGTATAGAGAAATGACTGGCAGAGTGGCTCAGGTGGTAGGGGACCTGCCTAGCAACAGGGGCCCTGAGTTCTAAATCCCAGTACCACAGAAAAAGCATGGAGAGGCTGAATGGATAAAAAGATCCAAATGTATTCTGCCTACTTAATACTTAAGCTTTAAGGACACATGCAAGATGTAAGTAAAATAATAGAAAATATCTCATGCAAATGGTAACCATAGCAAAAGTGGCTACACTTATATCTCATCAAATAGACTTCAAATCAAAAACTTTCATATGAAATAAAGTCATGATTTCATGCCCAATTTAATAAAAAAATTAAGGGGTCAATTCAAGAAAATATAACCATTGTAAATATATACACACCCAGCACTGGAGTGCCTAAACACAGAAAGCAGGCATTAATGGACATGAACAGAGAAACAGCAATATGACAATACAGTAACAGTAGAGGGCTTCAATACTCCAATTTAAACAATGGATCCATCAACCAGAGAGAAAATTAATAAGGAAATACTGTATTTGAATTGTGATTTTGAAAAAATGAACTTTTCATCAAAAAAAGAAAAAGAAAAGGCAATGATGAAAATGTTCAAAAAACAAACACGGAAGTATGTGACAGAAAGCAATGTTATGTCAGGTGTTATGGTTCATGCCTATAATCCCAGCACTCAGAAGGCTGAGGCAGGAGGATCATGAGTTTGGGGCCAGATGGGGCTACATGGTGAAATCCTGTCTTAAGAATAAAGCAACAATTTTAGCTAGTTATATTGCTAATGTTGGTTATAGACAAAGGTTCCAGGAAATAGTTACTTAATGCTGTGAGATATTAAGTGGATTGGAGGTACGGGAGACACCATAAAGTTTTCCACTGTTGGAGTTACACAAGGGATTGAGGAACACCCAAAACTCACATGGAAAGGAATGTTTTGAGTGAGTACAGGAATGGCATTTTCATGGGATATGTTGGCAATATTTGGGAATGGTACTAAGTTACCCTAAGTTGGTGAAGTGCTCACTTTGGGGACTTTAGAACAAATTGGGCCATTATATGAGCATGAAGCCGTGATTATTTCTTGGAAAGTCAAAAGCCAGGATTTATATTCACCAAAGTACATATACACAATTGTATCATTTGCCAATAGGTTTTACCATTTTTATTAGAGACCTTAGTTATAGAAAGGAAGTGTTATAGAAAGTAAGTGTTAAATCTAATCTGTGGCTTTGATTCAGGATGGGGAAGAAGTAAATATGGATACTCACTGTGTTATTAGGATTTTGATAGCCACCTGAAGATTTGCATCCTGCTAGACATGGCGATAGATAAGTTATTCCATTGTCCCCACACACTGGCTCCCACTGACTCTTGTCACAGTTGCAGTCTGAGTTGCAATAAGAAAGTGGGACATCTATATGAGATGTCACTTGATTAACTCTGGAAATATATGATAGACATATGTCAGGGAAAGATAGAGAAGAGAAAGAAGAAGAGGAAAAGGGTGGGGAGAACAAGAGGGGAGGAGGTAGGGAGAAAGAGAGGAAGAAGAGAGAGAAAAGGAGGAAGAAGAAAGAAGAAGAGAGGAAATTATGCATTTTTCTTCAGTTAGAAAATTTTGATGGAAGATGCCAAACTTGCAAAGTATTTTTTTTAAAATACTTGCTCACTTTTCACCTTCCATCATTGCCAAGACCTGTCTTATGACCTAGAAAAAACAAAACTTAAAAAAGAAAGCAGAGAACATGTAAGATTTAGACAAGAGACAAGCAATTTTACATTAGTTAGATCACTTTTTCTGAGACTCAGTTTGTTTTCAGTAAGGGAACGTCAATAAACTGAGGTTCCTTCCTGCTTACTGGACCCATAGAATTCTCACTGCCATCTTTTGGGTAGATGGTAAAGTTACTACACTGTCATTTGCCTCATAACCTTGTTTTGGTCAACAATGGACAACATGTAAAATGGTGATCCAATGAGATTATATTGCTTTGAGATGTTGCATCTGTCTTCGTGTGAGTACACACTATAATGTTCACACGGTGATAAAGTTGACCAGAGACACATTTGTAAGAACTTATCTTTGTCATTAAATGACATATGACTATTTGCTTGTAGAGAATTGGTATTGGGATAATGCTTGCCTTCATAAACAGAGAGTCCTTGGAACTAATGTAGATATAGTCTGGAGTTAGTTATTTCAAAGAAGTTATAATTTCTTTAAGTCGCAACTAATAAAGAAAGGGATGTGTGGTTGGGCTGCGTGATCCCTATGGTTCTTTTACATAAAAGTTGTTCAGGCACTTAAGGAAAATGTCATTTATGTTATACACATAACCAAAGTAATAGTGGTTAAGACTACAAGTTTTGGAGTTAAAACCCCAAATTTGAACACGTGTGAAAGTCAAGGTGAGCTTCATGTTGAGACATGTTTAACCGCTATAATCTCTGCTCTCAAATGTTATGTTCCATATCTATAAACGGTGAACCATTAGGACATTGGAACAGGCCCATAAAAGTGACAGTCACTATGACAACTCAAAGTTGTTTTTCTTTAAGAAAAAAATCAGAACAGATATTTTGAGGGTCTCAAGAAATGCATTATTTTTTAGAACTTGTAATTGAAATTTTTCTCAATGAAAAAAGAAGTTTTAAGTTATTTTCTACCCTGTTTTCCTTATGTGGGATCTTTTCACTAATATTTAACACCGTTAGGCAATTGATTATAGTGATAAATACAAACCCATCGTAGGTCATGGTTAGCGCCAGCAATGACTTGGTTTCACGATTGAGCGTAGATGATCGTAAAGTAAAAGGGACACGGAAGAAGTTAAAAATGAAAATTTGCAATTCCTAATCACGGTCCAATTTTGGCTTCCTTTAATGATTATTAGCCTCCTTAAAAACATTCCAATGGCCATAGTAGGCTACAGTTATCATTCCCTAGAAATAAAAGAAGAGGAAAAAAGTTATAATTATATATGAGTTTTCTTATATATCTTTTAACATATAAGCAGAACAAATATCAATCAAAAGTTATCTAATTTTGTTACTTCTTTATAACGGGTGCAGGCCAAAATTAGTGACAGGACTAGCATTACTTCTGTCAAAATAGTTTTCTTTTTTAGTTGTATAGTTTTCTTCTGTGCCAGAAAATGAGGGTTTGTTTTCCTCAATAGCCAAAAGCAATGTTTGAGAATATGATTTCAACCTGATGAGTTCTATAACCAGAACTTTTTCTTGGAGCACATAACAGCATATCATGTTTTTGGTTATGAGACTTGTTCATATCATCTCAAAGGCTTTACATATTTCAAAAATAAATCAGAACAGATATTTTTGAGGGTCTCAAGAATGCATTATTTTTTAAAGTGTAATTGAAATTTTTCTCAATGAAAAAAGAAGTTTTAAGTTATTTTCTACCCTGTTTTCCTTATGTGGAATCTTTTCACTAATAGGTAACACGTTATGCAATTGATATAGTGATAAATACAAACCCATCGTAGGTCATGGTTAGGCCAGCAATTGACTTGTTTTCACAGATTAGAGCGTAGTATGATACGTAAAGTAAAAGGGACACGGAAGAAGTTAAAAATGAAAATTTGCCAATTCCAATCACGGTCAATTTGAGCTTTTTAATGATATAGCCTCCTAAAAACATTCCAATTGCCATAGTAGGTACAGTTATCATTCCTAGAAATAAAAGAAGAGAAAAAAGTTATAATTATATATGGTTTTCTGATATATCTTTACATATAGAGCAGAACAAATATCAATCAAAGTTATCTAATTTTGTTACTTCTTAAGTAAGGGTGCAGGCCAAAATAGTGACAGGGGACTAGCATACTCTGTCAAAATAGTTTTCTATTTTATAGTTTATAGTTTCTTCTTGCCAGAAAATGAGGGTTTGTTTTCCTCAATAGCAAAAGGCAATGTTTGAGAATATTTGGATTTCAACTGATGAGTTCTATACAGAACTTTTTTCTGGAGCACAATAACAGCATATCATGTTTTTGGTTATGAGACTTGGTTCATATCATCTCAAAGCTTTTACATATTTCAAAATAAAGAGCTTCAGTCCTCATTCCAAATTCACCGGGTGCTTCAGAATTGAACACGGAAGTTAATCTCTCTTCCTTATCCATTAAAATGGACGAATAAACAAGCCTTCATACAATACTAAAAATGATTAATCCCTCATAGTTTCTCCATTTCATTGTTTTGTAAGAGTTGCTAATGATGAAGCTTTCTCTAAAAAAATATTCAGTCTAGGTTACCGGGAGTCAAAACCTTGGTCTTTTTGTTTAAACGTTGAAGTTCAATAAGACAATCACACAGAATTCTGGTCCAGTGCTTTAGACAATTCATTTTCACATTATTGTTTTCTTTTTTATTTATGATCTAGTCACATACCACTTGATAAATTTTTTATCAAATATTTTTTGAGTATCCACAATGTTTTCACAATATTGGAATTGTGGGGAAAATAATATAAGAAAAATAATTATTTCTTTAAAAACAGATATCAAATAGATATTATAGCAAAACTATCTGCTTTGAATTATGGCTATTTCATAGTATATTTAAATTGTTTCACATTTTGGAAACATCAATGTTCTATTTTTGTACAGTGGTTGCATCCTGATTTCAAAGTCCATTAATTATAGAATTATAATAACCACATCACAAAAATGACTTGTATCAGGATCTTAACACTAAATTGTTAAGAGCTAATAAACAGAAACCATACCTAACTGTTCCATTTCATCTAAGTTTTCCTTTAGTATAGGAGAAATAAAACTTCAAGTGCAGAACCAAAATGTTATCCCAAGACTGACAAGTTAAATAAGGTTTGTGAGCGAATAAGTGGAAATTATTTACTGAATATAAAATTGCATTCTCAATAAAATGTCTCTTGGATTCAATAGTATATCGCCTATCAAGCAAACAGATAGATAATATGTCTTACCCAACAAAAAGTTAGCTTCTGATGCTGACTGACCATACTGTTGCTCAATGTATTTGAAGATGTAAGTAAAGGTACCAATGAAGCTGCTGAAATGTAGCAATGTCAAACACAAGTATATGATAAAGATGTGATTGGTAAGGATGCTTTTCATGGATGTTAGAAAGCCTTAAAATAATAAAAACAAAGAAAACATTATAATGCATCTTAATTACAGATTATATCCTAACTTTATAACTACAATATGTAATGTGATATTTAAAATAACGGAAATACATAACACAGAAAGTGAGAGTGCCCTGAAATCCTACTGTCAATAGTTTAAAATATATTCCTTTAATATTTTCCATATCTATATTAACATTTACTTGCTTAGTTCATTTTACCCGCAACTTAAGTCTTTAACATGGCGTACTGTTTGGTAACTCGCTTTGCTCACTTAGTATTTGCTGATTCTTTGGACTCTATCATACTATTTCATATGTATTAATTCATTTTTTGTTAATGCAATTCAACAAATACTTGGGCTTTCAATTGGCCAGGTAATATGCTAAGTGTTCAGAAAACAAAAGTGGACCTGACATGAGATGTCCCTTACTATTAGCACTTAAAAAATGTTATGTTACTAACATAATTAAGCAGAAATTTAAATTATAGCATAATCCAAAAAACACAGAAATAAGAACACTGTTGTTCAAATATCTTAAATACCAGTTTAGCATGAGGATACCTTGTTACCTGATAAATAGCTTTTCTTCCATAAAATACTATCTCAGTGAATCTGGCGGCATTACAAATCATGTCTTAAGATGAAAGAAGGAAAGGCAGGAGACAATGATGTGTTTCATGACATCATGGCAGGAATAGAACAACAACCTATACCTACAAATAGGTGTGTAAGAATTTTACACACTCTGTCGAATGGTGTGATCTAGTATGATGACTGGGTTAACCAGCTGTAACAGGAATTGAAAGGTCGATGGAAACAACATAGGTAGCACAATGAAGTTTCAGAATTAAACAAACAAAACCAGAGGGGGTGGGGCTAGTGGAGTGGCTCAACTTGTAGAGTGCATGCTTAGCAAGCATGAGGTCCTGTGTTCAAACCCCAGAACCACCATCCCCCCAAAAAAAGCAGAGGTGGTGATTGAGAGGTGATGTCACAGGCTTTGAAAGCTTAATCTTTAGGTCTCTAAAGATTTCTATATGATATGGACAGAATCAAGACTTCCATCTAATGTTAATGTAGATATAGTTTCATTCACTTATAATAAAAGAGAATTAGGGCAAAAGACACAAAGAGAAAGAAGAAGTAAGAGCATTTATAGCAGAAATTAAAAAAAAAACACTGAAAACAATTAGGCCAAAATACTAAAATTCTCTCCATAGGACTACTCAGTCAAGCAGGACACTGATGATTTGTGAATCTGAATTATCTATGACCTTTGTTTAAAAGAATTGAGCATATGAATTCATAATTCATTGGAAAAATTTTTTGAGATGGGTGGGACTTAGATGTCATCTGTTCTGAACTGCCATGAAATCATGAGCCTCTATCCTTAACAAATGAATCAATGCGCAGTTCATTAAGCTGACAATCTTGGAGAGCAAATGGTCTGTTTTGGACATTTCTCATTGGTTGCATATTGTTCTTGTGATGAACTGAAATCTTCCTTTATTTCTTTCTAAACAATCAGTCTTAGGTCCACTCAAGTGCATATACAATAATCCCAATATTCTCCTTCTGTTTGGGTGTTCTTGGTTATTTCCATTCCAAATAAGCACGCAGCTAAGGTCTTCCTCACTACTCAGATCACTGTCAACACACAAATGCCATCGATAATACAGCTGATGTTTATAATTACTCTGTTTTTGCAGCTGCATAATCCTTTCTATTCTTCTTGGATACACAGTCAGAACTAGTCTTGTAGATTTAGACAATCCAGCAATGTTTATGGATTTGACATAGGAGAGTAGAAATATAGTGTATGTAAAATAAAAATTTATTGATGTCTTATTTTTGCATATTTAAGACTGGATTTAAATATTCCAAGCTTTACATTTCTATGACTTTTTTTTTACAATTTTTATTATCATATATTAGTTGAACAGGGGGTTTCATTGTGACATTTACATAATGTGCTTAAAATGTATCTTAATTAGAATCACCCATTTCCATTCTCCTTCATACTCTTCCTTCCTCTTCTTGGAACAATTTCAATAGGTTTCATTGCTCTGTTTTCATATACATAGATGCTCTTTAACACACTATTTTTAATGTGCATGTTAAATTTTAAAACCTTGTAACTCAGGGATTTGGTGGTCAATATTTATTTCTTTGGGAAACAAAGCCCACTTTATGGTATTTCCCAATTTCTACAAAATAAATGGTGATTAAAATCTCCTGCCATTGCCAGTTTCAAGCTACCAATGTAGGAGGAAATTTAACAATACTTTTTCATGAGCCAAGAAAAGCTGGCTCCAGCATACCATTAACCTTGGGTTAATGATGGAGAGAAGAAAATAATAAGAAAATGGTAAGTGGAAGAACGGATGAGAAGAAGAACTTGGGCTAGAAGAGAATTTGTAATCTCATTTCAACGTCAATTTGTAAAGGTTGCCCAGGATTCAGGGCTCAGACTGACTTGGCTTTTACTATTTCACCAATTTTCTTCACCTTGAAAATTTCTGTAAACACCTCGAGGTTTCAGCTATCTTTCTCTGGTTGCTGCTGTGTCGTTCTGATATTTGCTTCTCAGTGGTTCTCTAGTAGACTCCAGGACTTGTATTTGAAAGAGAACATGCTATCAAATAGTGAAGAACCCCAATTCACATTGGAAGCTACTACTATACTCATACTTCATTTATAAACATTTTGGTGAGTAGTATGTTTTCACTACATTAACTAAAAGGAACAGTCTTACTTTGATTGCCTGTAGAGAAATCCCTCCTGAAATCCTTCTTTAATTCATGTCTCCACCTAAGAATGGTTAATTTTAACCTGACTATAGTGCTTAAAGCAGTCTGTTGCAATTGTCTATAAACTTTCCAGTGTCAAGTAAATTCTTGGAAAAATTGTCATTCTTAGAAAATAGAGACAACATTTTATCATCATGGTGCTTGGTACCATTTGTTGAATGAATGAACTAGTGAACAAATGAAATATTTATCCTTTAACTCTCACTGATAGTCTATACTATATAATTTAAAATGAGGGGTTTAGGGCCTAGATCAGCAGTAGGACACTTGCCTGGCATGTATGGAGGCCCTGGGTTTGATCTTCTGCACCACAAAAATTTAAAACTTTTTTCTGTCATACTGGGTTTCCAATTCAGTACCTTGTGCTTGCTAGGCAAGTGCTTTACCACTGGATCCGTGCCCCCAGCTCCTTTCTTTCCTTCCTTTCTTCCACACTTCCTTCCTTCCTTCCTCCTCCCCTCCCTCCTTCCCTTCCTTCCTTCCTTCTTTCCTCCCTTCCTTCCTTCCTTTTGGTTTTAGGGGTTTTTTTTGATAGGCTCTTATATTTTTTGCCTGGCCCACCCTGGACTGTGATCCCATTTCATCTGTTGCATAGCTGAGGTGACAAGCACATACCACCACACTCAGTTTTTTATTGGTTGAAATGGGGTCTTGCTAACTTTTTGCCTGGGCTGGCCTCAAACCCTTATCCTCCCAATGTCTGCCCTCCAAATAGCTGGAGTTACAGGTGTGAGCCATTGTATTTAGCCTAAAACATTTGTTAAATGAATAAAGACTAGTTGGTTTACAAGGGACATATTTTTAGGCTTTGATTTTTTTCTCTATGGTAAAAGCTACAAATCTAATCCTATTCAGTTTATTATGTGCTGAGGAAATACCAGTTTTGCAGGAACTTTCAAAAAAGAATTCAGCAAAGTTTAGCGCATAAGAAAGTTAAATCCAGATGATTTGGATACAATGTATTATTTAGAAATACTTTTCTCTTTCACTGAGATTAATAATTCAAAGCTCATTATAAATGTGAAATACTTACCTGACATCTGTATGGTTCCACGTTGCCCATGGCTTGCCAAATTATCTGTTTGATGGTTTTCTTTATTTGTTTTGAGTGTGTGTGAAGATATTGAAATTTTCCTTTCTTTCTGTGGTATGTTTGGGTTTTTGGGTAGGAAAAAGAATGGTATGGAAGATAGAATGGATAATAGTCCAGACACAAGAAAACTGAGCCACCAAGCACCAACCCAACGAGAGTCAGTAGGAGTTATTCTAATAGTGCCTAGAAAAAATAAATAGAAAGAGTCAGCCAAAATCATTTTGAAATACAGTAAGTTCTGGGCAATATTGATAATTATTGCTCTCCTCCATAGATGAAGAAAACAAACTCTATATTCCATCAATTCTGATTCTAGTTTCTTTTTTTTCAAATTTTTCATCTTAGAAATTAAGATAAATCTATCAATTGATGACATCTCACAATCACTGTTTTTCAGGAATCAGTCATAATATTCTTGTCAAAATCTAAGATTGTGTACACTCAGTGACTTTTCTGATTAAGTGACTGGAGAACAAACAACACTAGATATTTAACTCTGAAAATGACTTAAAAACCATGGCAGAAATATGAATCTTCATTGTTATCTGAAAAACAACTATTGGTGCCATCTTATGAGGCCAAGAAAACACTAGCAATAAATTTAAAGAAGTTTTCAAGAAATTCTCAGAGACAATAGAAAGCACATCCCTCCCAAACTCCTGAATCTTCAACTCTCTTGACAATATAGAGGATGAAATTGGTGAAAAAAATAAACACAACGAAAATCTGAGTTTGAAAATAACCCAGAAAAGCTGGACTCTAAATGTTAGAAGTAATGTAACCACTTTATGTCAACTATATTTTCCTTTAAATTATGCATGAGTGATATGCTAATGCTATATATCGAGAGTAAATGAGCTATGTCACTTAGTATAAAATAAACAGTGTAAGCATTAAGAAAGCATTCATGAATATCAACAGGATGGCAGAATAAGAAGGAGCTGTAGATTCTCTTTCCAGCAACAAACAACACTGATTCAATAGCAAATAGAAAACCAGCCACATTGAAGCCATTAGGAAAATTAGAAACCTTATCTCACCATAATCCCCAGGTCACTAAGTGTTTTATGATCAGAAAAGCTAGCAATTTGAACTAAGGTATAGATATTTGTCACAGTTCTTCCCTTTGGCTCAACACAGAGTGAATAGGGAAGGGAAGATTTTGACTACACATCCAATGTTTCTGATTGTTTTCGGGTGCTACTCAAAGGACTGGCTCCTATCTCACCTATCTCAGACTACTGACAGGACCTGACAAATGTTAGACCCCTGCGGTTATAAAGAACAAATAGAGCAGGTTTAGGTAGTGTGTGACCAGTTACCACAGCTCTTGTAACCTGGCTCAGAGCAGAGTGAGCAGAAAAAAACCAACCGACCAACCAACACAAAATAAAAACCAGTATCCAAGCTTCTCCATGACTAGGGAAAGATTTGGATGACATATCTAACATTTCATCTTTTCTGGGTCTTACTCAAAACATTTGCTTTTGTCTTACCTATGTTGGGACCAGGCATATGCAAGACAAAAAGGGTAGTATGAGTTATCATAGAGGCACTTGCCATAGTCCCTCACTCCTGAGATTGTGAAAAGTGTGCAGGTGAAAAGCCCAAGTTCCTAGATTCTTCCTGGTGAGGGAAGGAGTTGGATGCCTTGAAAATGTTCAAAATAGTATGAGAGTTAATCAAGGACTGGTTTCTGCCTCACCTACCTAGGGCTGCTGATGAGCTCTTACATAATTCAAACAAAGACAGCTGTTTGGCAAAATGTGAAAAGATTTAAAGGGTTTATGGAGACTCTGACTGTATTGGCTGAAAAAGGTTTTCTCTTATAAGAGGCCATAGATCTACCATATGATACAGCAATCCCACTCCTTAGGGATATACTCAAAGGAATGTGACATAGGTTACTCCATAGGCACCTGCACACCCGTGCTTATTGTAACGTTATTCACAATAGCCAAGTTATGGAAACAGCCAAGATGCCCCATTACTGTGGAATGGATTAAGAAAATGTGGTATTTATACACAATGGAATTTTACTCAGTCATGAAGAAGAATGAAATCTTATCATTTGCAAGTAAATGGATGGAACTGGAGAACATCATCTTAAGTGAAGTTAGCCAGGCTCAGAAAGCCAAAAATCGTATGTTCTCCCTCATATGCAGACTTTAGACCTAAAACAAATGCAGTAATATTATTAGACATGGGTCACACGCTAAGGGGAAAACACATACAGGAGAAACAGGGAAAGGTAGGAAATCCAAAACTTGAAAGTGTTTGATGTGCCCACTGCAGAGGAGCTACTATAGTAACCTTAAAATGACAGAGGTCCATATGGGAAGGTGACTAGGGAGAAGTGAAGAGATCTGGTAAAGATGAATCAATTTGGGTTGTAATACACATGTGCATGGAAGCAATTCTAGGACTGTCTCTGTATAGCTATCCTTATCTCAAACTAGCAAAACCGCTATGTCTTTCTTATTGTCTCTTATGTCTTCTGTCTTCTCTTCAACAAAATTAGAGAAGAGGACAGAACAGGTTCTGCCTGGAAGTGAGGGGGTAGGAGGGAGAAGGAAGGGGCAGGGGTGGGGGGAGAAATGTCCCAAACAATGTATGCACATATGAATAGATGAATTTAAAAAAGAATTAAATAAAAAAAAAAGACTTGGAGAGGTGGTATTTTCCCCTAGATACCAATAATAAAATTCAAAGAACACAAAGGAAAGAGGAACAAGATTAAAAAAAAAAACCAATATATTACCCCAGAAACCAACCTCAATAAAATAGTAATCTATTAATGATCTGAGAGAAAACTCAAAAGAACCGGGATAAAAATTCTCAAAAACACATAGGAGAAAAATACATAAACAAAGAAAATTCCAACCAAGAGAAAAATTTGTAGAGAACCAAACAAAAATCTTGAAACTTACGGGTACATAAATGAATGTAACTAAACTGAAAAGTTCAATAAAGGAATTTAATAATAGACTAGGTGAAGCAGAAGAAAGAAAAAATAAATCTTCTAAAGATAGGCCCTCATCATCAATAGCTATAGCAAGGTAGCAGGATATAAAATCAACATAGAAAAATCATTAGGATTTCTATACACTAACAATGAGCAAATTGAAAAAGAATGTATGAAAACAATTCCATTTACAATAGCCTCAAAAAAAATCAAATACCCAGGTGTATACCTAACAAAAGATGTGAAAGACCTCTACAAGGAAAACTATACACTTCTGAAGAAAGAGATTGAGGAAGACTATAGAAAGTGAAAAGATCTCCCATGCTCATTGATTGGTAGAATCAACATAGTAAAATGTTGGTACTCCCAAAAGTAATCTACATGTTTAATGAAATTCCCATCAAAATTCCAATGACATTCATTAAAGAGATCGAAAAATCTACTGCAGGAGGTATCACAATACCTGACTTCAAACTATATTACAAAGCAATAACAATAAAAACAGCATGGTACTGGCACAAAAACAGACATGAAGACCAGTGGAACAGAATAGAGGACCCAGATATGAAGCCACACAACTATAACCAACTTGTCTTTGACAAAGGAGCTAAAAATATACGATGGAGAAATAGCAGCCTCTTCAACAAAAACTGCTGGGAAAACTGGTTAACAGTCTGCAAAAAACTGAAACTAGATCCATGTATATCACCCTATACCAAGATTAACTCAAAATGGATCAAGGATCTTCATATCAGACCACAAACTCTAAAGTTGATGCAGGAAAGAGTAGGAAATACTCTGGAGTTAGTAGGTATAGGTAAGAACTTTCTCAACGAAACCCCAGCAGCACAGCAACTAAGAGATAGCATAGATAAATGGGACCTCATAAAACTAAAAAGCTTCTGTTCATCAAAAGAAATGGTCTCTAAACTGAAGAGAACACCCACAGAGTGGGAGAAAATATTTGCCAGCTATACATCAGACAAAGGACTGATAACCAGAATATATAGGGAACTTAAAAAACTAAATTCTCCCAAAACTAATGAACCAATAAAGAAATGGGCAAGTGAACTAAACAGAACTTTCTCAAAAGAAGAAATTCAAATGGCCAAAAACACATGAAAAAATGCTCACCATCTCTAGCAATAAAGGAAATGCAAATTAAAACCACACTAAGATTCCACCTCACCCCTGTTAGAATAGCCATCATTAGCAACACCACCAACAACAGGTGTTGGTGAGGATGCAGGGAAAAAGGAACCCTCTTACACTGTTGGTGGGAATGTAAACTAGTACAACCACTCTGGAAAAAAATTTGGAGGCTACTTAAAAAGCTAGACATTGATCTACCATTTGATCCAGCAATACCACTCTTGGGGATATACCCAAAAGACTGTGACACAGGTTACTCCAGAGGCACCTGCACACCCATGTTTATTGCAGCACTATTCACAATAGCCAAGTTATGGAAACAGCCAAGATGCCCCACCACTGACGAATGGATTAAGAAAATGTGGTATCTATACACAATGGAATTTTATGCAGCCATGAAGAAGAATGAAATGTTATCATTCGCTGGTAAATGGATGGAATTGGAGAACATCATTCTGAGTGAGGTTAGCCTGGCCCAAAAGACCAAAAATCGTATGTTCTCCCTCATATGTGGACATTAGATCAAGGGCAAACACAACAAGGGGATTGGACTTTGAGCACATGATAAAAGCGAGCACACAAGGGAGGGTGAGGATAGGTAAGACACCTAAAAAATTAGCTAGCATTTGTTGCCCTTAATGCAGAGAAACTAAAGCAGATACCTTAAAAGCAACTGAGGCCAATAGGAAAAGGGGACCAGGAACTAGAGAAAAGGTTAGATCAAAAAGAATTAACCTAGAAGGTAACACACACGCACAGGAAATTAATGTGAGTCAACTCCCTGTATAGCTATCCTTATCTCAACCAGCAAAAACCCTTGTTCCTTTCTATTATTGCTTATACTCTCTCTTCAACAAAATTAGAAATAAGGGCAAAATAGTTTCTGCTGGGTATTGAGGGGGTGGGGGGAGAGGGAGGGGGTGGAGTGGGTGGTAAGGGAGGGGGTGGGGGCAGGGGGGAGAAATGACCCAAGCCTTATATGCACATATGAATATTAAAAGAAAAAAAAAGAAGAGAATGAAAAACACTTCAGAAAAAGTATAACACTTATTGGTATAGGTATGCT